ATCACCTCCACTAGCTTTGTTTGTAGTGATGCTTCCTAAGGCCCCCTTGACTTCGAATTCTAGGATGTCTGGCTCTAGGTCAGACCATCACACCATCGTCATTATCTGATCTTTTTTGTATAGTTCTTCTATGTATTCTTGCCACCTCTTCTTAATATCTTCTGCTTCTGTTAGATCCATACCATTTCTGTCCTTTATTGTGCTCAGCTTTGCATGAAATATTGCCTTGGTATCTTTAATTTTCTTGAAGAGATCTCTAGTCTTTCCTATTCCATTGTTTTGCTCTATTCTTTGCATTGATCTGTATCTATGCTTTTTTTTGAGTTAGTAAATTTTTGTAACTTTGGATGATTTGTTAAAAATTGAAGTATAGTTAATTTACAGTGTTGTGTTAGTTTCAGGTGCATCTATATGACAACCCTCCAAGGGAAAAATGCTACAAAGGAAAAGTAATTTGATCAACTGACAAAATTGGAGTATGATTGCTAAACTAGATAAAAATATTGCACCAGTGTTCAATTTACTGGAATTGGTAACTAAATCATGGTTATGGCCAAGAATATCCTTCTTCTTAAAAATACTCCCAAAAGTATTTAGAGATAAACAAGGTGTAACTTCCCCTCAACCGGTTCAGAAAAGAACTATGCACATATGTTTATACACATATACAGATAATCATAAACAAGACACTTATACACACAGGAAATGTACACACACACACACACACACACGCATGTGCACGCACAAGAGAGAGACGGGGGAAGAGAACAAACATGATAAAACAATGTGAGAATCTGGCAGAAGGGAATTAACTATTCTTCATGCACTTTTCATTACTTTAACTTTTCTATGCATTTGAAATTATTTCAAATAAAGGTTTAAAAAAAGCCTCCAAACTTCAACTTAGTCTTTGAAAGCTTATGTTATTTATTTTTGGATTTTCTATTGTATTTTGCTTTCCATCATCATCATCTGCTTTTATTTTTACTAATTTTTATTGAAGTATAGTTGCTTCCCAGGTGGCTCAGTGTAAAAAATTCGCCTGCCAAGACAGGAGATGTGGGTTCGATCCCTGAGTTGGGAAGATCCCCAGGAGAAGGAAATTCCAACTCATTCCAGTATTCTTGCCTGGGAAATCTCATGGATAGAGGAGCCTGGTGGGCTATAGACCTTGGGGTCGTGAAAGAGTCAGACAGGACCCAGCGACCAGACAACAACAATAGTTGCTTTACAATGGGAGTTTCTATTTTAAGTCCCACCTTTCTGGGTTCTTGGGAAGGCAGAGACACCACAGTATGTGAACACGTCTCTGATTCTCCTTCAATTTGGAAACATATGAAGTCACATGGAATACCATGCAAATGACAGGGAGGTAGATGTGCGTGTTACGTATAACTCCATCTCTCTCTCCGATTTAAACTGCAGGATGCAGTCCCAATGCCCACAGGGGTCAAGCAAGCATGGCAGTGAGTGAAACAAGCCAGGCGTAAGAAGAGTCAACTACTAGAAATACAGTAAAACTTTCTTGATTTTTTTTTTTTTTTTTTACTGGGCTATGGGGAAGCACAAAATGTCATACAAACAGGTATGCTAACTGCAAATGATATTTCCGAGTCAAACTGGAAAAAAAAGAAAACCAGAAATATTTAATAACATGTTTTCATCTCGCAACCCCTCGGACCTAGAGGATTCTAGGCTTCCAGCCCCCGGGACTGTGCGGGAGTGTGTTTTTGTCACGTTGAGATGTGCAGTACGGAATCCCACTGGGAATCCTTCAGCTGGGAGCAGTACTCAGCTTTACTCAGTTTCATAATGGAAAAGAGCTGTTCACAAATGTAGGTGCTCCCAAACATCGAGAGGATCTTGGCACAGTGGGTCTTGTACTTGGGGTAACTGCCCCAGAGGTATTTATAGAATTCCGGTATTCCAACCTTGTCGTATTTGGTTTTCAGGACTGTGTTGCACTGCAGGTCAATCACCTCCATCTGCAGGGCTTCCTGGACGCTCTCGATCTTCATGGAGAAAGGGGAGCTGAACAGGGTCAGTTCACTTTCGTAGAGTTTGAAATCAGACAGCCTTTTCTGGAACTCTGTCTTCAGCTCCACGATTTTGGGAATGTAGTTCAGGCCGTCGCTTTCGTTCCTGGAAACCGATTTCAGGGTGGGAAAGTGGGCCAGGTTATTCCTGGCCAGATGAGTCTCCCAGAGGCACAGTTTGGCCAAGAAGGCCCGAATCAAGTCGTACATCTGAGTCACGATTTGGGAATGCCCTTGCAGGGAGATGTTCAACGTGTTCAGGTGCATGGTCATGTCCACCAAGAAGGCCAAGTCTTTGATCCAATCTTGAGAGCTCAGCTGAGGCAGGGGCTTGCCCCTGGAGGACATGAAGGAGTCAATCTCTTCCAAGGATTCAAAGAACCTCTTCAGCACCAGCCCACGGCTGAGCCACTTAATCTCCGTGTAGTACAGAAGGCTGCCGTATTGGCAGTCCAGCTCATAGAGCAAAGTCGTGAACTCGCTGTGGTTCAGTCCGCGGGAGCAGATCCAGTTCACGGCATTAACTACCACACTCATGATGTGGTCCATCTTTAACTTCTGAGCACAGAGCGACTCCGGGTGGATGATGCAACACACGGACTTCAGGTCGGAGCCCTTGCAAACCGTCGCCACCTTGGACTTGAGCTTCGTGACCAGCCCGTCGTTGGCGTCGACCATGGCAGGGGTGCCGGTGGAGGCTACGCTGACTAGTTTCGACCAGTCGATATTAAACTTTTTCAGGCTTTTCTCAACACGCAGAAAGATCTCGTTTCCAGACTTCGTACCCGTCATGGGCACCGTATCTAAAAGTTCTTCTGACACATCAAAATTCTCATCGACTCCCCGGATGAAGATGGCTAACTGGGTGGTGTTGTTTATATCTGTGATCTCATCGATGGCAATGGAATAAGCCACAAAAGATCTGATTTTTTCACGTAACTTCTCCCACAGGTTCCCAGCCACGTCTTCCACGGGCTGGACAGCAGCATTTCCCCTTGGACTCACCTTGGCAAACGCTTGTTTTTGCTCGGGACACACGATGTCTGATGACCCTAGGAGATACTTTCTGAGTCCTTCCTTGAGCTCCCGGAGCTTCTCATCGCGCATCTTCTCGGTGTACTGGTCATAGTGCTTGCTGTGGTTGGTTTGATAATGGCGTCTCAGGTTGTACTCTTTGGATACCGACATGCTCTGTTTGCATATTAAACAGGTAGGGATATTCTGCACTTCCACGAAGAAATAAGCTCGCTCCCACTTTTCTTGAAATACACGGCCCTCTTGATCTATCTTCCTTTTTCCCACTTTTGATAGAGACATGGAGACAAGAAAGAGTTCACTTTTCTCTTGATTGTTAGAAAAACATCAGCAAAAGCATGATGACAAATGCAGGGATAAGGTGGCTGAGGGGGCGTGGGTTAACTGGAGAGTAACCCAGCTCTGCAGAGGTGGGGGATGGGGCTGGGCCCCATCTCAGGGCCAGCAAACTATTGCCAGGGGAGCATGGCCCCACGCTGGCTGGATCTTCAGATTTCTAAAGAAAACCTGGAAATGAATTTTTATGAAAAAGCCCCTGGTTTTTCCGTATTGGCCACTAATTCCCTTTTTCAAAAGGTTGACGAGTCAAATGAAAGACGTCTTTGGTGAGGATCGGTAAGTGGCTATGTTTGTTCCACCTGATTTAAATGAGAATGATTTGAGATTGTATCTGCATTTTAACATACTGGGCTTCCCTGATGATTCAGCAGGTAAAGAATCTGCTTGCAATGCAGGAGACACAGAAGACTCAAATTCAATCCCTGGGTCAAGAAGATCCCCTGGAGGAGGAAATGGCAGCCTACTCCAGCATTCTTGCCTGAAAAATCCCACAGACAGAGGAGTCTGGCGGGCTATAGTCCAAAAAGTTGGACATATTTTTTTTCAATGGCTTTTCAAGAGAATTTTGAAATAACAGAGAAGGGGATGAGTACAGAAGGCATATGATTTACCTGCTATGAGTCCCAAAAGACCTGGTGACAGCCCACAGACCCTCACAGAACTTACGTGGTTTCAGTGTAAAGAAATGGGCCACAATGTATGTGAGCTTTACTTCAAGAGAACACGGGTATAAAAATTAACTTTAAGGAAATGCAGACAGAGACAGTCAATTCAGTAGTTGCCTGGGGCTAGGGGTGGGAATGGGAAATGACTAGAAATGGGTAGGAGGAATCTTTGGGGGATGATGGAAATGTTCTAGTATTAGATTATGGTGACAGCTGCACAACTCTGTAACTTTACTGAGAAAAATCACTGGACTGTGTACAGTTTGCACAAGTGAATGTTATGGTATGTATATTATGCCACAATAAAGCTCTTAAAAAGGCACAAAGCTATTTAGCAACCAGATGAATTTAGGAATAATAACTGTGCATTTCAAGAGAAGAGTTTTGCTTCCAAAAATAAAAAAAAAAAATTTTTTTTTTAGATGGACCATTTTTAAAGTCTTTATTGAGTTTGTTACAAGATTGCTTCTGTTTTAGGTTTTGACTTTTTTGGCCCGGGGGCATGGGGGATATCTGAGTTCCCTGACCAGGGATCGAAACCTGCACCCCCAGCACTGTAGGTGAAGTTTTAACCACTGGATTTCCAAGGAAGTTCAGAGCTTCCGAAATTTAAGTGAGGAGGTTCTCTAGTGATTCAAACTTTTGGAACCATCTCTACATTTTCTGCTTTTTTTTTTTTTTTTTCCTAGAACTACCTTATTTTTAAAAATTTACATTGAAATATAGTTGACTTACAATGTTGTTGTGTTAGTTTCAGGTATTATATACATATGTTCTTTTTTAGACTCTTTTCCATTATAGGTTAATGCAAGATGGGTATAGTTCCCTGTGCTATACCGCAGGTCTTTGACAGTTACATTGTCCGCTTTAATATCCAATAGGATTTTGACTTGCTTGTAGGGCTTTTGGGGGGGCCAGGAAAATTTTTTGGCTTTCCCCGTTGTTTTGTTGGTTAGGCGGACTTTTTTTTGCTTGGGGGTTGGTTTGGTTCCTTGCTTGGGGACTTAGGTTCCCCCTTCCCAGTTGTTTTGGCCCAAAAAAAAAAGTTTTAAATTAAAATGAAATTAAACAAGCAGAAAGGCTGGAACATTGCTCCATCAGAACAGAAGTCAGCCTCGGCACTGACTGGAGCGGGTTCTGGGAGCCCTGCTGTGCCAGGCAGTAGCCGTGTTGATTCTGAACTGTGGGGAGGTCAGTGATTAGAGATCCTGGAGGTGGGACTGGGGTGACCAGGCGGGTACTATTTACCAGCTAAGGTGGAGCAGCAGTAGTTCAGTATTACGAGCACCTTCCTCCAGCATAAAGGACTCTTGAATAAGAGTGTGGTGTGCCATCACTCACAGCAAGCTCCACCAAACTAATATGAGAAAAAAATGCCTGGCTAAGAAAACACAAGCAATGGAATTAAAGGGCTTTATAAGCAGCAGGAAAAATGAACATAGAGAGCGACATGTTTTGGGACTTGCCGCTGGTGGTCCAGTAGCTAGGATTCCAAGCTCCCAATGCAGAGGTCCCGGAGTTCAATCCCTGGTTGGGGAACTAGGTCCCACATGCTGTAACTAAAGATCCTGCATGCTGCAACTAAGAACCAGAGCAGCCGAATAAATAAATAGAAAGTGGCATGCTTTGCTCTGAGACTCAAGGCTCAGGAAGCAAGGACCCCATGGTGAGTGTCCCTGAAGACAGCTCACACCTCACATTGGGGGCTGGAACCATCTTCTCACCCCTGGAATACTCACCATTGCTGAGCTCGAGACCTGGAAGTGGTCTGAAGAGAAAAAGAGACATTGGTGAGTGCAACAAAGGGCACTTTTCCTCTCTTGTCCATTTAGTTCTATTTGACAAACTTTTGTGACATCAGCTATCGGCTAAAGCAAGACTGGTTGCCCAGCGACAACCAAGAAATGGGAGCTAAAACACACAGTTCCCAGAAGCAGAAGCCAATGAACTGGGACTTCCCTGGTGGTCCAGTGGTTAAGACTTCGAGTTCCCAGTGCAAGGGGTCTGGGTTTGATGCCTGGTCAGTGAACTAGATCCCACATGCTGAAACTAAAAGTTCCTGCACGCTGCAATGAAGATCCCGCAAGCCACAACTAAGACCCAGTGCAGCCAAAGAAATAAATTAAAATAAATATTTTTCAAAAAGAACACCATGAACCGAGTATGAGGGGCGGTATCACATAGCACTTGACCGACTTGACCGCAAGGACCCACCGCCCACCTGCTGGGGTTTAGAATCCCGGTGCCCCCTGACTTGTCCACCTTGAGGAAGTTAGGATCTGCAGCTCATTCTCCTGACCCAGCAGGGAACCCTCACGTACCTGATGACTGTGAATTTGATAAACTCTGCAGCATCCAGGATTCTTCTCATGGAGCTGATTTCTAGGTAGCCGGGGGCTTTGAAGACCACCCCCGGGGGCATGCCATCGATCACCACGCAGCCAGGGTTGAAGGTGATCTTCCTGTAGGGAACTTTCACAGGGAAATCCACTCCAATGGCTTCACCTGTGGTGAGACGCGCATAAAACCAGCTCAATTTTATCTTTAACGTCAAGCTTTCAAAATTATTCACGTCAAGTGATAACAATGGTGATCTGCCATTATTTTATTTTCCAGGCGTGCTAGGATGCAAGAGTGATTTTAGTGATTTTTGAAATTAGGAATGTGTAGGATAGCAGACTCAGTTTCTCTATGCATGAAATAGGGATTATCTACCTAAAAAGGTTTTCTGAGGATTAAATGATTCATCACATGTCAAACGCTAAAATCAATACTTAGCCACAGGAAGAAGTCGGTAAGTCAAAGATAGCTATGATAATTATTTTTTAAATTGAGATAAAATTGACATATAACATTATATTAGTTTTGGGTATACAACATAATGAGTTGATAAAGATAGCTTTTGTAAAAATTTTTTTATTGAAGTATAGTCAATTTATGTGTTAATTTCTGTTGCACAGCAAAGTGATTTAGTTATACATATATATCTATATCTATATATAGATATAGATATACACACACACATATTCTTTTTAAAATATTCTTTTCCACTATGGTTTATCATAGATATTGACTATATTTTTCCATGTTATACAGTATGACTTTGCTGTTTATCCATTCTATTTATAAAAGCTTACATCTGCTAACCCCAACTTCCCGCTCCATCCCTCCCCCGACCTCCTTCTCCTGGGCAACCACCAGTCTGTTCTCTGTGTCCATCATTCTGTTTCATAGACAGGCTCATTTGTGTCCTATTTTAGACTCCACAGAAAGTGCTATCATATAGCGTTTGTCTTTCTCTTTATGACTTACTTCACTTAGCATGACAATCTCTAGTTTCGTCCATGTTGCTGCAAATGGCATTATTTCACTCTTTTTTGTGGCTGAGCAGCATTCCATCATACACAGGTACTACATCTTTATCCATTCATCTGTCGATGGACATTTAGACTGTTTCCACGTCTTGGCTATTGTGAGTACTGCTGCTATGAACATAGGGGTGCACGTATCTTTCTGAATTATAGTTTTGTCTGAATATATGCCAGGAAATGGAATTGCTGGATCATATGGTAGTTCTATTCTTAGTTTTCTAAGGAATCTCTATACTGTCCTCCATAGTGGCGGCACCAACTTATTCCCACCAACAGTGTAGAAGGGTTCTCTTTTCTCCACAGCCTCCCCAGCATTTATTATTTGCAGATTTTTTTAATGATGGCCAATCTGACTGTGTGTGTGAGGTGGTACCTCATTCTGATTTTGAGTTGCATATCTCTAATAATTAATAATGTTGACCATCTCTTCATGTGCCTATTGGCCAAAAGATAGCTATTATTATTATTATTATGTAATTAGTGTTTCCATGTAAAAATACACACTAATTTTGATCACAGCTACTTAAGAGGAAGATCAATTTCTTAAAGTAATCAATTAGAAAGAAATAGTTCAAATATATATTAAAAAATCTGAATATGCAACAATATAAAAACGTACCAAATTTTCGGCTAAAAAGGTCATTGACTTGTTCTCTTAGTTGTTTTATTTTTTCAAGGCTTGATAATCTTTCCTTCTCATTATCTAAAAAAATTAAAGAAAAAAAAAAGTTTATTCATGTATTTGCCCCTGACCCCAAAAGGCCATTGGAGAAAACACCATTAGCTCATGAGAAAGTACTTTACCTGGCTTATCAATTTACTTTTAGCAAAAAGTAAGCATTTTGTAAATTTGTAAATTTAAGGTATTAGAGATGTCTTTCCTTAGTTGACAGGGTGAACTTAGCAAAGAAATAGCTCCAAGAGATCAACCCATGTCACCAAATGGTTAAAATAAAACAAAATGAAAAACACAGTCTAGATTATGACAAAATCAGATAGAATTCTATACCTGGAACTGTCACCTGAACGATGTTAAGATCTTCAACACCTGCTGCAGAATTAGTAATATTGGGTGAACTGGTGTTTCCTTAAAGAGAAATTGAAATTTAGAACTTATAGAAAACTAGACTACTTCTGCTATAAAACTACCAAACTGCCATTCTGATCAGAAGGCCCGAGTAGGGAATTCCCGGTGATCTAGTGATTCTGACTTGGGGCTTTCACTGCCAAGGGCCCGGGTTCAATGCTGGACGGGGAACTAAGATTCTACAAGCATCACAGTGTGGTCAAAAAAAAAGAAGAAGGCCACATTAAATTTTTAAAATTCCAGAGAATATTTAGCTATGGAATAACAAGCTGGCTTGGCATTAATTGATGCTTGAGTCTCTGCAGTTTAATGTCTATGTCAAAGGAGAAGGCAGTGGCAACCCACTCCAGTATTCTTGCCTGGAGAATCCCAGGGACGGGGAAGCCTGGTAGGCTGCCGTCTATGGGGTCGCACAGAGTCGGACACGACTGAAGCGACTTAGCAGCAGCAGCAGCGGGGAAAGGACTCCAGGGCTTTTACTTAGATTGTAGCCCCTGATACTTCACAGTCTAAATTGATTTAAAAAAAAGACTGATAAAAATATATTTCCTGGGACTTCCCTAGTGGTCCAGTGGTTAAGACCCCAAGCTCCCAATGCAGGGGGCACAGGTTCATTCCCCAGTTGAGGAATTAAGATCCTGCATGCCACTTGGCCAAAGGAAAAGAAAAAAAAAATTCCTTTATTGTTAATTCTCAATTTAAGGAAGGGTGAAGAAAGTAAGACATATGAGTGCATACAAGAGGGCACTTAAGAAGCAGACGTCCTATGAGAAATGATGTAACAGGACAGTCAAGGAAAGGCTCAGATGGGGTTGAATAGTAAAAGCACAGTTGACGGTATCACGGTCTGGTCAAATGACAGACACTACGCTCACTTAAGTTCTATGTGAGAAGTGAAATGAGCCTTTCTAGTCCTTTCTGAGGGACTCAGGGCTCAGTCCCTGTGTTCTGTGAACGATCAACTATTTGGATATCTGAGATTCTACATCTGAGAGCAGACCCCAAAAGGACACAAGAAGCCACACCACAGTGCTCCTCCCTCCCCTGGTCACACACACACACACACACACACACACACACACACACATCGATTTCACTCTTTCCCCCGGAGCAATCCTTTGAGGAAAAATGAAAAACTATACTTAGCAATATGAATTCGGCAAGGTTTTGGGCAACCAACCTTCAATTTTCACCTCAGCTTCAGAGTCCTCACTCATTTCTGAAGGGACAAGTTGAGTAGAATCTTGAAAAAAAAATTTTCTAAAATGACATTTGCTGTTATGTATTCTCATGTTCCAATATTTTACTGCTCCTCTACCCTAAAAGTCACTTATCCTGGCATTTTAAATGCATTTCATATTTAATAAACAGAGGTATAAACACAAAGGTACTTTTAAGTTTAAAAGGGATAATAGAGTAATAAAAGATGACCTTAACTTACAAGGGATAAGAGGAGATAAGAAACTTTCAGGGAGCAAATGATACGAAGTTACCCACAGTTAAGGGACACAGAATATTCTCTTTGAGCTAATGGAATTCATGTGGCAACAGTGTTTTCTGGTTGTTGTTGGGAATTACTGAGATTTTTAAAAAGCTATTTGCTCCTCCCTTATCCCGCCAGCAGCCCCCAGGTGATTCAAGGTCTATCGTTACTTGGACTCATAATTGAGTTTTCTGCTGGATAAGAATTATGACACGTACATCAAGCTGGCATCACAGACTCAATGGAAATGAGTCTGAGCAAGTTCCAGGAGATGGGGAAGGACAGAGAAGCCTGGCGTGCTGCATGCAGTTCATGGGGTTGCAAAGAGTTGGACACAACAGAGCGATTGAACAACAGTAACAATATACAAGTTCCACATACAGACAAAAGCCTGGCTAGGTTATCCCACCTAACTGGCTCATTTTAGAATGATCTGTCAGTTGTTACATTAATTAATTGTTAGTAAAAGAAGAAAGACTAGAACACAAGACTGTTTTGATTTTGTACTATCATTGTATAAGATGTAAACTTTAGGGAAAAATGGGTGAAGGCACATTGGATTGCTTGTACTATTCTTGCAGCTTCTTGTGAATCTATTGTTGTTCAGTTGCTAAGCTGTGTCTGACTCTTTTTGACCCCATGGATTGTAGCCCACCAGGCTCCTCTGTCCATGGGATTTCCCAGGCAAGAATACTGGAGTGGGTTACCATTTCCTTCTCCAAGGGATCTTCTTGACCCAGGGATCAAACTATAACTATTTTAAAATAAAAAGGTTTCAGGGAGTTTTCTGGTGGCCTTGTGGTTAGGATTCTGGGCTTTCACTACCATGGCGTGGGTTTTAATCCCTGGCTAGGGAACTGAAATCTGGTAGGCCATGTGGTTCGGTCAATAAAGAAAGAAAGAATTAAAGGACTGGCATGAAATAGAAAGCTTTAAAAAAATCAAACAAGGGGCTCCCCTGGCAGTCCAGTGGTTAAGACTTCACCTTCCAGGGCAGGGGGTTTGGGTTTGATCTCTGGTTGGGGAGCTGAGATCCCACATCCCTCGGGGCCAAAAAACCAAAACATAAAACAGAAGCAGTATTGTAACGAATTCAATAAAGACTTTTAAAGAATGGTTCATATCAAAAAAAGTCTTTTTTAAAAAAGTTTATTCTCTGCAAAATACTGTAAACTTAAAAAAAAGAGAGAGAATGCCTCAATTTTCTAACCTTCCATTGGTAATTCCATTTCTATTAATTCAGTGCCTGCAGAAGGACGACGGCTCTCTGAAAGGAAAGCAAACGATATATTAAAAAGGCAGAAACACATATTTTAAAAAAGACATCATTTGAAACTAAGGCAAAGAATTCAAGACCCACACAGGAATACCCACGAAATATTTATAGACTCCTGGAAATCGAATTCATATAAACGATCCTTTCTTTATGTTTTTTTTTTTTTCCCTAATCTATGCTTTGGAAAAACTTAAAACAGAAAAGCAGAGAGAAGGCAAAATGAGGCCATTTGTCCATCCTCCAGCATCAAGTCATTGACTCAGGTCATTCTATCTGTGCCCCAATCCCCGCCCCCCCAACACTGGTTGTTGTTGTGTCAGATTCTTTGCAACCCCCTTTCTCTTTGAGCTAATGGAATTCATGTGGCAACAGTGTTTTCTGGTTGTTGTTGGGAATTACTGAGATTTTTAAAAAGCTATTTGCTCCTCCCTTATCCGGCCAGCAGCCCCCAGGTGATTCAAGGTCTATCGTTACTTGGACTCATAATTGAGTTTTCTGCTGGATAAGAATTATGACACGTACATCAAGCTGGCATCACAGACTCAATGGAAATGAGTCTGAGCAAGTTCCAGGAGATGGGGAAGGACAGGGAAGCCTGGCGTGCTGCATGCAGTTCATGGGGTTGCAAAGAGTTGGACACAACAGAGCGATTGAACAACAGTAACAATATACAAGTTCCACATACAGACAAAAGCCTGGCTAGGTTATCCCACCTAACTGGCTCATTTTAGAATGATCTGTCAGTTGTTACATTAATTAATTGTTAGTAAAAGAAGAAAGACTAGAACACAAGACTGTTTTGATTTTGTACTATCATTGTATAAGATGTAAACTTTAGGGAAAAATGGGTGAAGGCACATTGGATTGCTTGTACTATTCTTGCAGCTTCTTGTGAATCTATTGTTGTTCAGTTGCTAAGCTGTGTCTGACTCTTTTTGACCCCATGGATTGTAGCCCACCAGGCTCCTCTGTCCATGGGATTTCCCAGGCAAGAATACTGGAGTGGGTTACCATTTCCTTCTCCAAGGGATCTTCTTGACCCAGGGATCAAACTATAACTATTTTAAAATAAAAAGGTTTCAGGGAGTTTTCTGGTGGCCTTGTGGTTAGGATTCTGGGCTTTCACTACCATGGCGTGGGTTTTAATCCCTGGCTAGGGAACTGAAATCTGGTAGGCCATGTGGTTCGGTCAATAAAGAAAGAAAGAATTAAAGGACTGGCATGAAATAGAAAGCTTTAAAAAAATCAAACAAGGGGCTCCCCTGGCAGTCCAGTGGTTAAGACTTCACCTTCCAGGGCAGGGGGTTTGGGTTTGATCTCTGGTTGGGGAGCTGAGATCCCACATCCCTCGGGGCCAAAAAACCAAAACATAAAACAGAAGCAGTATTGTAACGAATTCAATAAAGACTTTTAAAGAATGGTTCATATCAAAAAAAGTCTTTTTTAAAAAAGTTTATTCTCTGCAAAATACTGTAAACTTAAAAAAAAGAGAGAGAATGCCTCAATTTTCTAACCTTCCATTGGTAATTCCATTTCTATTAATTCAGTGCCTGCAGAAGGACGACGGCTCTCTGAAAGGAAAGCAAACGATATATTAAAAAGGCAGAAACACATATTTTAAAAAAGACATCATTTGAAACTAAGGCAAAGAATTCAAGACCCACACAGGAATACCCACGAAATATTTATAGACTCCTGGAAATCGAATTCATATAAACGATCCTTTCTTTATGTTTTTTTTTTTTTCCCTAATCTATGCTTTGGAAAAACTTAAAACAGAAAAGCAGAGAGAAGGCAAAATGAGGCCATTTGTCCATCCTCCAGCATCAAGTCATTGACTCAGGTCATTCTATCTGTGCCCCAATCCCCGCCCCCCCAACACTGGTTGTTGTTGTGTCAGATTCTTTGCAACCCCCCAAACTGCAGCACACCAGGCTTCCCTGTCTTTCACTGTCTCCCTGAGTTTGCTCAGACTCATGTCCATGGAGTTGGTGATGCCATCCAACCATCTGGTCCTCTGTCGTCCCCTTCTCTTGCCATCAGTCTTTCCCAGCATCAGGGTCTTTTCCAATGTGTCGGCTCTTAGCATCAGGTGGCCAAAATATTGGAGCTTCAGCTTCAGCATCAGTCCTTCCATGAATATTCAGGGTTGGTTGCCTTTAGGATTGACTGGTTGGATCTCCTTGCAGTCCAAGGGACTCTCAAGAGTCTTCTCCAACACCACAGTTTGAAAGCATCAATTGTTTGAAGCTCAGTCTTCTTTAGAGTCCAACTCTCAAGACTGCTGGAAAAACCATACCTTTGAGTATACGAACTTTGTCAGCAAAGAAAAGTAACTACACCCATTGGTAGTTTACGGTAAATCTCGGAATTCAGTCTGCAAATACCTGCATTGAAGGAAGTACATCTCTCTTCTTTTAGCGTCACCACATCGTGATGACCCACACAATGAAGAATTATTCTTTATCATCATCTCATATCTAGTCATTGTTCAAGTTTCCTCAATTCTCTTACATGTCTTGGAAGAAAAAAGACACATACTTTATACTGGACGTAGTTTTAAACTTACGGGAAAGTTGCAAAAATAAAATAGTACAAAAAAGATCCATCTACCCTTTATCTTTGTCTTTCCCGATCTCTGGCTCCAGATGGAGACACACATCTGGATTTCTTTTTTAATCTTGCCTAATTGCTCTGCCTAGGACCTCCAATACGCTGTTGAAAAGAAGTGGTAAGAACAGACATACTTGCCTTTTTAAAAAAATTAATCATCACTTTTCACTGTGCGGGGCCTTTGCTGCCGTGTGCAGACTTTCTCTAGCTGCAGACGGGGGACTACTCTTCCTTGCGGAGCGCGGGCTTCTCACTGCGGTGGTTTCTCTTGTTGTGGAACACAGGGTCTAGGCGTAGGGGCTTCAGTAATTGTGGTGCACGAGCTTAGTTGCCCCGCATGTGGGCCCTTTCTGAATAAGATATCGAACCCACGTCCCCTGCATTGGCTGACGTATTCTTAACCACTGGACCACCGAAGAAGTCCCAGACATACTCGTCTTGTTCCTGGTCTTGGGGGATAGTCTTCAGTCTTTAAGTATGACATGATCTATATAAGTTTTTAAATAGATGCTCTTAATTATGTTGAAAAAGTTCCCCTCAGTTCCTAGTTTCTCGAGCGATTTTTAAAAATCATGAAAGGTATTAGATTTTGTCAAACGCCTTTTCCCTACATCTGTGGGGACAATCGTGTGGGTTTTGTCCTTTATTCATTATGTTGCTATTCTGTTGATTGATTTCCATAGGTTGAGCTAATCTTGCCTTCCTAGGAGCAATCACTATTTGGTCATTGTGTGGTCAGGCCATTCAAGATGGCTGTTCTCTTGCTCTTAGTACATCTCCCTGCTCAACCAGACTCTGCATCACACACACCCTACATTCATCCTCTTAATTACGGCTTAATTAGTAACTACCTACCTCTCTTGCCCCCTACCCACCACTGCTGGTTTCCCCGGTAACTGATGAGCCCATGTGACGTCAGTTCCTCCCTATAAATGGAAGCCTCCTCCGAGTTAGCGAAGTTGCTGTCACTTCTTGTCTGCCGTTTGCTGCACAAGGTGCGTGTTGCTCCAGGACTTTGCTTCAGATGTGCAAGGTCCCCTGTCCAATAAGCCATTGATGTCCTTGTTGCGGGGCTTTTTCTTTGTTCTCAAGCTTTGCAGGCCTGGGGCGGAGGTACATACCCAACAGGTCTGATGGATAAACTTATGACTGTTTTATTGAGGATTTTTGTTTATCTGTTAATAAGCGATATGGTTCTGTAGTTTTCTGGCGGTGTTTTGTCTGGTTTTGGTATCAGGGTGATGCTGGCCTAACAGAATGAGTCGAGAAGCATTCCCTCCTCTATTTTCTGTAAGAGTTTTTGAAGTTCTGGTGTTCACTCTTGAAACACTTGGTAGAATTCACCAGTGGAGTCACCTGATCCTGGGCTTTTGTTTGTAGAAAGCTTTTCAATGACTATTCAAAATTCTTGTTATGTGACGATTCAAAATTTGTGTTTTATCCTTAGTCAGTTTCAGTGGTTTGTCCATTTCATTTAGGTGACTCAATTTGTTGGCGTACAATTGCTTACTATTTGTATTAGGCAGATGCCCCCACCCCCCACCCTACCCTGGCAATAAAAAAGATATCCAAAACCTGTGAATATATATAATGTTACATGGCAAGGGGCGGATAGGATGCAGATGGGATTAGGTGTCCTCATGGTTAATCTTCAGAAAAGATTATCCTGCATATCCAGCTGGGCTCTGTGTAATCAATGTATGGGGTATTTCAATGTGGAAAAGGAAGGCAGAAGGGTCAGTGCTAGAGTGATGTATTTCGGGGAAGGCTATATTAATTCCTTGACCTTGGGCTTCTGTATCCTCGTTCCCCCATCCCGGAAGCCTTTCCCCCCACACCACACAGCATCAGCCGGGAAGAAAACAGAACGGTACTGATGCTCTGACATCCATCAAGGAAGCCTGGGTGCAGTAGAGCTCAGCAAAGCTTGTACAGGGCAGTCTTCATTTCCAGGGGGGAGACGGGGTCCCCGCACACGTAGAAGACCTGTGGGACTTGCATGGGCTTCGCGGGGGCCAAGGTACTATATGCACCTGTGTAGACGTTGTGTCGGGGTCTTCTGAGAGATCTGTGTTGCAGATGGATCGTGAGGTCCTGGTGTGTGTGGGGGTAGCTTCTGAGCACTTGTGGGGACATGGCTGACTTCACTGGGGGCGTCCTAGGGACCTGCCGCCATTCTGAGCAGGTCACGTTGATTGTCTTTTTGGATTTAAAACTATCTCCCTTACTTAAAGGAGACAGAAAGATATCAATACTTCAGCACATATTTAACCTTAAGTGGTTATAAAAACATTCAGTGCTATGGAATATTGTCCATGATGTCAGGCAATCTGGAACTTTTTCGGCATCAAGAAGGAAGCTGTTCTACAAAGATGTCTTGAATGGTTCTGTCATTTCCAAGCCAAGCAGGAGAAAGGCTATAAAGTCACAGGTTTAAAAGTGAATATTTCTCTTCAAATAATGTACTTCTTTCTGAAAAGTTAAAATAGAGTGATTGCAGGTGCATCTAATTTATTTCACTGTTGCCTTTCAGAGCAGAATCTGTTAAGTATCTTATCCCTGATTGTACACAATTTGATCATTTAAGTATAAAAATATATTCTTGGGAGTCAAGAATTTGTTTCTAAATGCCTGTTGTTCCAAACAACAGGCATTTAGAAACAAATGTTACACTGATTCTTCACCCTGAATTCAGCAAGCACATCTGAGTGTCCAGGATGTAGAAAGTCTTGGGCTTGGGACTCTGGGGGGTGGGGGTGGGGGGGATAAGATGCTGTGTTTCCCGCCACTAGCTGAGGGAGTCCTCGGCAAAAGTATAAATACAGGACTTCCTGGCAGTCCAGTGGTTAAGACTCCACCCTTCCAATGCGGGGAGCTGGTGGGGGGTGGCATCAATCCCTGGTCAGGGCACTAAGATGGCACATACACAGCAGGTCACACTAAATGCTGGAAGTTGAACCGAGTTGAGGTTCTGACTGTGCCCAGAAAGAAGGGGGACGCTCCTCAGAAGTCTGCAGGATAGGATGGGGAGCCACAGTGAGGGATCAGCTTATATAAAAGCCCTGTGGAAGGGGGATTCAGGGCTTGTTCGAGGAACCATATTCAGAGCAGCATGTCTGAAGAACAGAGGGAGGGTGATGGTGGGGGAGGCAGATGACATAGGAGGGGACACCAGAAACAGCAGTAGGGGGCCTTTCCTGGTGGTCAAGTGGTTAAGACTCTGAGCTTCCGCTGCCTGGGGCACAGGTTTGATCCCTGGTCTGCTCAGCTGGTAAAGAATCCACCTGCAATGCAAGAGACCCTGGTATGATTCCTGAGTCGGGAAGATCCGCTGGAGAAGAGATAGGCTACCCACTCCAGTATTCTTGGGCTTCCCTTGTGTCTCAGCTAGTTAAGAATCTGCCCACAATATGTGAGACCTGGGTTCGATCCCTGGGGTAGGAAGATCCCCTGGAGAAGGGAACAGCTACCCACTCCAGTATTCTGGCCTGGAGAATTCCATGGACTGTGTAGTCCACGGGGTCTGAGCAATTTTCACTTCTAGGGCTTTCCCGGTGGCTCAAGTAGAGTCTTCCAGCAGTGCAGGAGACCCAGGTTGGATCCCTGGTTTGGGAAGATCCCCTGGAGAAGGAAATAGCAATCCACTCCAGTATTCTTGCCTGGAAAATCCCATGGATCGAGAAGCCTGGCAGGCTACAGTTCATGGGGTTGCAAAGAGTCGGACATAACTGAGCTACTTCACTCTGTCTCAGGAAACTAAGACCTGCAGGCCTCATGGGGCGGCCAAAAAAGAAAAGGAACAATAGGAACATGGAAGGAAACTGGGACTTCACAGGTGATAAGGAGCTGCAGACGACATGAATGGGGGAGAGACGTGGACAGATCCCAGTTTTCAAAGAATACACGACTGGGGTGGGGTAGGGCGTCTGGGATGGGCTGAAAAAGAGATCCTCTGCCCCTCTGCCCAGATGTAAGGAGACTGGTCATGGGGCACAGGGCAGGACGGGGCAGAGGGGGTGGGTGGGGTTGGCCCACGACCGAGCAACTACAACAGAACTTCTGTTGGTCTCTGCCTTTTAGATCTTTCGGAAGAGGTGTTTTTAGTAAAACTTACAGAGCTAAGTAATGCTGCAGGGAAATTCCAAAGTTTACGATTTTGTAAGGAAACATTTTCAATATGATAATGTTTGAGGCTCTAACTGCAAATTGTCCCACACTCTGCATCCACTCACAGTGGAGGTGGAAGATGGAGAAAGGATCTGAACACCGTGCAGTAGTCATAGCAACAAGACGGTATCCTATCACTATGACGACCCCAACCGATCGTCAACCATCGTCAGTTGGGGTCCGGCAGGATTCTGGTCTTTGGGTAGAGAACTGAGCCACCCAACCACATAGACACCCCACCTGCGCCACCTTTGGAACGTTTATTACATGAATGGGGGAGAGACGTGGACAGATCCCAGTTTTCAAAGAATACACGACTGGGGTGGGGTAGGGCGTCTGGGATGGGCTGAAAAAGAGATCCTCTGCCCCTCTGCCCAGATGTAAGGAGACTGGTCATGGGGCACAGGGCAGGACGGGGCAGAGGGGGTGGGTGGGGTTGGCCCGTGACCGAGCAACTACAACAGAACTTCTGTTGGTCTTTGCCTTTTAGATCTTTCGGAAGAGGTGTTTTTAGTAAAACTTACAGAGCTAAGTAATGCTGCAGGGAAATTCCAAAGTTTAAGATTTTGTAAGGAAACATTTTCAATCTGATAATGTTTGAGGCTCTAACTGCAAATTGTCCCACACTCTGCATCCACTCACAGTGGAGGTGGAAGATGGAGAAAGGATCTGAACACCGTGCAGTAGTCATAGCAACAAGACGGTATCCTATCACTATGACGACCCCAACCGATCGTCAACCATCGTCAGTTGGGGTCCGGCAGGATTCTGGTCTTTGGGTAGAGAACTGAGCCACCCAACCACATAGACACCCCACCTGCGCCACCTTTGGAACGTTTATGTATTTGGTAACGACCATCTTCTTCCTGTTGAACTTATATGCTGGCAGTGAACTCATATGCTGCCTTTCTAGTAAAAAAAGGCACTTGAGTTTCTTAACTCTGTCTGCATCTCTTTTATCTCAATATCTTCTCAGCAACTCAGACTGGACAGAAGAGGATTAAGAGGGAAATATTTTAGAACACCCAAAACAATATTTAATAGACAAACTCAAGTAAAACGCAACCTGAAATACCTTTACAGCCACATATGCCCAGAATCATATGGATTCAGGCTACATATTAATGCAATCTATTTTATGACTGTGAAATTGTTCACCTTAACGGCATTGTAGAAGACTCTACATAAATATACATGGATCTTTATGACTCTTTGTTTGTTCAGATGAGCACTAATTAAAAGCTTCCATCACAGATAACTGTTAGAGAAGAAAGTTATTATAAAATGGTATTACCTTGCATACCATATTCATCGTAATTAGGATCTTCTGATTCTTTCTTGACTGACACAACTGCCGCTTCCAGTGAAATACCTTGGAATGCAATGGAAATTATAAAATGATGTGTTAAACTCACCAACAGAGATGTGACTGGCTCATACACCTTCCAGGTTGTTTGGATTAACACAGTAACACTGCAGTCAGCAAAAGCACTTGTAGCTCATGCACTATGAACAAATGGGTTAATCCACATAAAATATAATAACACAACAAAAAAGGAATGAAAGATGGAGGGGAAGATGGAGGGAGGGGGAAAGGAGAAAGAGGTCTAGTTCCAAGTTTGGGGAGATTTTCCCTTTCAAGATGGCTGAATATGTACATGTATTTACATGAAATACTGTAAATCTTCCTCTGTAACAGGTCCTGAATTGGCACAGATTATCTTAATTTACTTACTACAACATGATGAATTTCAAAACCTGGGGAAACTACATTAGTAAAACCAAAAGGTTTTATCAGGGAAAGGTGTGGGAGAAGGCAAAAATTAGCCACAGATGTCTCCCGTCCCATATACATGTCTGTTGGCACCGTAACTTTCCCACTCCTGATTTCTCCAAGTGGAAAACTACTCCACCTTGTAAAGCCAGGCCCGGCCATGTGACTTGCTTCGGCCAATGGGATGTAGACAGAGGGTTGAAAAGTGCCTGTGCCTCCGCTTCTGCTGTTTCTCGAGCAGAGCTGCGGGGTGAATGAGCCTGGAAAATGTGGGGCCCAGAGGAGAGAGACCCAGGAGGACGGCCTGGTCCACACACATATGTGTGAGAAAGACTGAGTCACAGTTTGAAGCCACTCAGTTCTGGGGTGCGGGTGGTCTTTTATACTGCAATAGATAACTGATACCGAAGTACACATATAACCTAACTGTGAAAGTTAACAGATGCAAAACAGTAATTGTGACACAGCTTGGGATTTCACTGTTCAGCATTAATTCACAAGTTCCAGGGTGGGGCTGGGGGGGGTCTTCTGAAATTAACAGCTCTGTTGGCAAAGGGATAGTGAGATGGGGTATTAAAGAATGTGATTATTAAAAAAAAAAAAAAGAAAGAATGTGATTATCACAAGGGCTTCCCTGGTGGCTCAGCTGGTAAAGAATCTACCTGCAACGTGGGAGACCTGGGTTCGATTCCTGGGTTGGGAAGATCCCCTGGAGAAGGGAAAGGCTACCCACTCTAGTATTCTGGCCTGAAGAATTCCAAGGACTGTATAGTCCATGGGGTCGCAAAGAGTCGGACACGACTGAGTGACTTTCACTTTTCACATATCACTAGCCTGAATTTTGTTTGAAACGTGTATAGCTTTTGTAACTTAGAGTCAAACTTTTAGGTACAACTTCCAAGTTGATTAGGCACTAATGACTCTACTAACAAACATCTGAAATACGTGACGGCTGGGCTGTCAAAGAAAAATTCCTGTTCAGTGCAGGCAGCTGAAAGCAGATTTGATGCTGTGGAATGCAGAATGTGTTTGAAATGGTAATGAAAACAGACTGGCTTCAGTTTTTCCTCAACACATGACTGGGGGGAGGGGAAAATTCAAAAGGCAAAACCCGTTTAAACAGCTGTTCGGTGCGTCAGGTGCTACACAGACATCGCGGGAAGTAAGGCCAAGGGATGGTCAGCTCTCAGAAGCCTGTAGGCAGCTGGAAGCGATTCGTACCATGAAATTCACAGCAGAAAGTCACATTATTAGGGAACACATATTTTATCTGAAAGGGAACCACATCTCCAAAGAAGAGAGACCTCAACAAAAGAGGCCTATTTTAAGGCCAGAGGGAATGGCTCATCCACCCTACAGCTGGTGAGGAAGGAGAGAAAGGCGGGGGGGACCATGGTTCCATGAAAGGGCCCCCCCCTCAGGGAGGGCTAACAACCGCTCACTCTCATTTCATTTGTTTTCCTAGTTTCTAACAGGGAAGAGACTGTGGCTTGGGGTTTTAAATTCTCCATGACCAACAGAGACACAGGCAGAATGTATTTGAAATGTATCTCTGAATCTTGGAAATGCATCATGGCCAAGATTAAAGGGGCTTCTCTGGTGGCTCAGCGGTACAGAATCCGCCTACAATGCAAGAGATACAGGAGATGAGGGCTTGATCCCTGAATCAGGAAGATCCCCTGGAGGAGGACATGGCAACCCCACTCCAGTCTTCTTGCCCGGGAAAGCCCATGGACAGAGGAGCCTGGTGGGCTACAGTCCATAGGGTCACACAGCCAGACATGGCTGAGAACACACACATCCCTAAGATTAAAGGGGCATCACGCATAAGGAGGATGAAGACTACACAGCTGAATTCTGCCAGCTGAAATCCTCGGCTCCGCACTGACCTGTGTTGGTTTTACCTAGAATAACTATAATGCACAAGCACTCCTTTTTCAGACCCTGATATTTAAGGTGGAGCTTCCACCGAGCACACATTTACATGTAGACGGGAGTGACCCTGGTGGATGACAAGGGAGGGGTCAGGCTCTCCTTCCCCGAGGGACAGGGGGAGGCAGCCTGGCATAAACCACACCCTGACACCTTCAGAAACGTGGGTGCTCTGACCTCCATGTCACTGAAGATAAAGTCTCTCTTTGCCTTTCCTCTACATGTTTTCTTAATATTGAATATTTTTCTTTTAGAGTCTCTCATACTTAATTTTAACTTTTTGAAGTTTGGAACTGTTTCTTATTTTTAGATTGCTTTTCTAAACATTATTAAATTCTAGTTTTACCCCCTTATGGTAGTAGGTGGTTTAGTTACTAAGTCACGTCCAACTCTTTCTTCCCCAGGGACTGTGTGCCTCCAGGCTCCTCTGTCCATGGGATTCTCCGGGCAAGAGTACTGGAGTGGGTTGCTGTTTTCTTCTCTAGGGGATCTTCCCGACCGACCCAGGGATCAAATTTTTGTCTCCTGCATTGCAGGCAGATTCTTTACTGCTGGGCCACCAGGGAAGCCCTTTCCCCCTTTAGAGCCAGTTTGCATTCATCTTTATCTTTCTGAGGTTTGAGCTTTAATTTTATGTACTTGTTTAGTTTAGGTTGCTGAAGCTTTTAACTCCTAATGCTTTCAATATTTTCCCATCCCTTGATTAAACATTTGACTTCTAAATTTTTTTCTATTTTTAACCTCTAACATTTTCCCCTAATGCCATTTTTCTTTTTTCTTTTCTTTTTTGAGAAGTGGGAGAGGCAGGGATGGGGGTTAACTGCTCTCATCCATCAAAGAAGGATTTCTTTTCTGCCAATATAGCTTATTTCAGTAATGCATGTCTACTGTAGAACATTTAGAAATTACAGAGTGTAAGAAAGCAATAAAACAAGTTGTTTATTCATACTTTATTCATAAATCAAATTCATAATTCCAAATATATGTTTAAGACTTTTTTACTTATTTAACAGTCAAGTTCTAATTTCCATATGATTAAAATAATACTTTACCTACAAATATATCTACTTAGTGACCCCATGGACTGTAGCCTGCCAGGATCCTCTGTCCATGGAATGCTCCAGGTCAGAATACTGGAGTGGGTAGCCGTTTTCTTTTCCAGGGGATCTTCCTAACCCAGGGATCAAACCCAGGTCTCCCGCATTGCAGGCGAATTCTTTACTGTCTGAACCACCCAGGAAGCCCGATAACATTTTAGTACCCAGTATTTATTGAACTAGAAGACTTTTTTCTAGATATTTGAGTAAAATATGATTCTGCAAATATGGCCACAGTTGAGGTCAACTGGATTTTCTACATGGACCAATGGATCATCTGAAAATTAAAGACAATTTTATTCATTATTTTCAATCATATACCGTATATTTCCTTTTCTTGTCTTAGTGCATTAACTAGGACTTTCAGTATGATACTGAAAGGGAGTGATGAGAGGGGACATCCTTCCTGATCTTAGTGGGAAAAATTATAGTTTCTCACCATTAAATATGATGTCAACTATATGTCTTTTGAAGATTTTTTTTATCAAGTTGAGGAAGTTCCCCTCTAGTCCTGCTTTACTGAAAGTACCATTTTTACATAAAATGTGAAGTGAAAGTAAAAGTTGCTCAGTCGTGTCCAACTCTTTGAGACTCCACGGAACTGTAGCCCGCCAGGCTCCACTGTCCATGGAATTCTCCAGGCCAGAATACTGGAGTGGGTATTAAAAGGAGTCAAATAATAACCTGCTGAATAACTCATTCTACAAGCATCAGTGTACATACCAGAATCTTCCATGGGTTCGGTCTTCACACGGATGGGGGCGCAGCTAAAAGGAGAAGGGAATGCTGGTCAAGATGGGCAGGGAAAGAACTGCCCACAGGCATCGGGACACTGAGCCCACTCCCCAGATATCCATGATGTCATGGTTCCCCTCCCCTCCACAAACTGAATGCACAGCTATCTCGACTTTAATTTGTAAAGTTAAATGACACCACGAAGAAAGTTAAAGGTGTCAACAGAATATAGTTTCATAATCCCAAACACCCCTTTGAATAAGGAACATGTAACAAAATAAGTCATTCCATACTCTAAAAACTAATACATTGGGTTTAGATGTGGCGTTAATTTTCTTTTTGTCCCTTACCTTTCACTTGGTGATGTCACTGACCTATCGGTGTTGGTTGCCAGCCCAGGCCCACCTGCGCAGGTGTAAGAAGACACACGCTAGCTGGTTTCATGCATCTTGAAACATGACAACATTCAAAGGCACATAAAGGGAAGGGAAATACAGAGAGGACAGAACTCCAGGTGCCAGGTCATCAGAGAAGGGCAGCTGAGGGACCAGCTCAAAGCAGCCCCCAAGGACTGGGCCACCTGTGTGGGCAAGATGGGGGCTGAGCAGCAGCCTGGGGCCAGAGTGGCCTCCAGCAGGTTACTAAGCCTCCCCATGCCTCAGCGTCCTCATCTGAGGATGGTGGCTGAGTACGGATCCATTCATCCATGCAAAGTGCTTAGAACAGTGTCCATCACAGGATGTGTCAGCAGTTATTATCATTATTCTGTAAGGACAACACAAGCCGCCTGGGACAGCAGTCACCAGCCACCCCTCACCCTCCAGTCCCTCCTTTAAGGTGAGCTGGGCCCCCAGGAAGTCACGACTGCTCCAGAAATACTTGCTCTGTGAGCAGTCCATGCACAGGGGTGTCTCATCACCCTCTGTACCCCGAGGTGTGGACAGTGAGACCCCCACCCACCCCATAAGTGGTTTCTGCACTTATGTAGGCTCAGCACGACACTCTCTTTAGACCTGGTCTTTCACGACCCTTTCACGACCCAAGGTTTCCAACTACATCCAGAATAATGATCTGAGAAAACAAGAAGTGGGCGTAGATGGATCTCTAAATGCTCCTGGTAAGATAGCTTCTTTTTTTGGTCCCTTCATCATCATGAGGAGAGTATAAGTCATCCTGGGTTCCCAAACACAGTCTCCAACACCCTGCACCTAGCTTTCTGCCTGACCACATGGAATCGGCTTCCTGGGGGAACCAAGCTGTTAAGACCCTGCTTATCTCGGGAAGCTCTTCTGACCACACAATTCTAACCCTGTTCCGAGGGCTCTCAGGGTCAGCACCCCTGGTTCTCTGAACAGCCTCATTCCTTCTCGCAGACATCTCAGAAACACAGGAATGGCCACACAGCCCAGACCTACTCCTGAAGCCCACAACGCCTAGCCCGCAGCTGGTGCGCAAAGACCAGCATCCTCACATTCCTATGCATGTGGACAAGGTAGGTCTCCAGCCCTGTGAAGGCTGGACGCAGAAGTCCGCTGGCACGCAAGCTGGAGGAGGGTGGTGTCTCAGCTCCTGGGCTGGGTGTGTGTGTTTCCCTGAGCTGTCATCCCTGCAAACATCACCCCAGGTCCCGGGATCAGAGGGGGCCTCCTCAATGTGGGAAAGGCACAGCCTAAACAAGTGTGAGAATGTGCCAAACTCGCACTTTAACTAAGAAAAGCAAAGTGGGCAGTCACCAAGTAGGAGAAGCTGTCACTTACCTGGCTGATTCACTGGACCCGGGAAAGGTCTGCAAAAAAACCCCATATGTTAGCAGCTGACATAAACACACCAGACACAGAGAAACATCTGAAGAACCAACTTCTAAACCTAAGGGGACGGGCTTCCTAGGTGGCTTAGTGGTAAAAAAATCTGCTTGCCAATGCAGGAGACAAGGGTTGATCCCTGGTCTGGGAAGATCCCACACTACTGAGCCCGCGCGCCCTAGAGGTTGTGTTCGGCAATGAGAGGAGCCACTGAAATGAGAAGCCTGCGCATCACGGCTAGAGAGGAGCCCCCGCTCGCCACAACTAGAGCAAAGCCCACGCAGCAATGGAGCCCCAGCACAGTCAAAAGTAGACAAATAAAATTATTTATATAAATACAGCAATCCCAATAAATAAATGTAACGGGACAGATTTAACCAGCTGAAATTAAGTTGTCAGTTTATCTTCAGATGAACCAGCTGTGAGAAAAGGGGGAGAGCCTGTCACCTGTTGATGAGGAATGAAATCCCCGCTTTGTTCTCCAAAATCCACTTCAGCGTTGCAAGGTCATAGTTCTCAGGGTGTTGGAAGGGGACCCCTTCTGGGAGCCCTTGAACCACCATCGCCTCCTGGTCCGTCAGCATCTTCTCGTAGGGAACAGGTACCATGGCTGTCGTCCCCAAGGCTTTGCCTGGAAGCACCAGCAGGATATCTTTAAACAACAGGAGTGTAAAAGACCCTGACCATCAATTTCAGTTAGTGTCAAACCCAGGTGGTGACATCTGGCTCCAAAGTTTATGAAAATCCTAAAGTGTCCCGTGCCGCTCTATCTCAAGTTTGTAACATTTCCAATCAAAGGGCCAAAAGAATACATAGAATCTGTTTTCCTTTAAATCTTCACAGAAGGGAAAATAACCGATGGCATAATCTATAAAAACATGGAATCAGTATGTTGTACACTGGAAACTAATATAAGGTAAGTCAACTTATATTTACTTATATTTCAATAAGTAAACTAAAAATGATCCATTTCTGAAAGAAAAGACAATAATAGGTCTTTTTGTCTCTTCTCTTGGCGGTTGCACAATGCAGGGTACTCGCCCTGGTGCAGGGCTGCAGGGAAGACCCCACTGGTTACTCACGATGCTGCCAGCTGAGGATGAGGGCCCAGCCCAAAGCTTACTCCCTGTGTCCACGGCATAGACCAGGCCTTGCCTGTAGAGAGCTGAGGCCTTATGTCCTCCACCACCTGGGGCTGTGACAGTCTCTCTGCACCGCTGGCCATCCCCAAGGTCCTGCAGCCCCATTTCCCACAGGGAAGTTTAACCTGAGACCCTAAGATCCCCTAGCTGGGGCCCCCAAATACAAACGCCCACTGCAGGTCACACAGATGTGTGCAGCTGTATAGGAAAGGGGAGCCAGGCCCGAAGATGCTAACGGGCTTCTAATGCAAATATAACACCTGCAGACATCCTTGTTGTCTAGCTTTTAAGTGGTTTTTTGTTTTGTGTGTGTGTGTTTTTTTAAATGCACTGTGTTGCATGCCAGATATTACTTCTGGCATAGTACCATGCCCCTGGCAGTGGAAGCACAGATTCTTAACCACTGAACCACCTGGGAACAACCGTATCTAGAGCACTGTGCAGGTACTTAAAAAAACACAACCATTGTCTCAGGGAAGTGAGGCTCGGGAGGGAGGGGGTATATGTATAATTACGGTTGATTCGCGCTGTTGTACGCAGAAACCAACGTGTTTCAAAGCAATTTTCCTCCCATTAAAAAATAAATTAAAAAAACTTTCTGTCTCCAGGCCTGTGGGGAGACCAACGATGAGGCTGGTGTGTGAACCAACCGTGAACATCTGCCATAACTACATGGCTGTGGGGAGCGGGCTCCACAAAGACTGAAGGCTGATGTATACAGAGGTTCTGACAAATGGGAAGAGACCATGTTGATCTGGTACTTAACTGGCTGTTCGCTTGATGAAAATGTGGATTTCTCTAATGTTAGAGATGGTTTATGTAGTCACGCTGATAAAATGATCTCTAATACCATCTTTACCAACAAAGGTCCATCTAGTCTTCCGTCAGCATCTTCTCGTAGGGAACAGGTACCATGGCTGTCGTCCCCAAGGCTTTGCCTGGAAGCACCAGCAGGATATCTTTAAACAACAGGAGTGTAAAAGACCCTGACCATCAATTTCAGTTAGTGTCAAACCCAGGTGGTGACATCTGGCTCCAAAGTTTATGAAAATCCTAAAGTGTCCCGTGCCGCTCTATCTCAAGTTTGTAACATTTCCAATCAAAGGGCCAAAAGAATACATAGAATCTGTTTTCCTTTAAATCTTCACAGAAGGGAAAATAACCGATGGCATAATCTATAAAAACATGGAATCAGTATGTTGTACACTGGAAACTAATATAAGGTAAGTCAACTTATATTTACTTATATCTCAATAAGTAAACTAAAAATGATCCATTTCTGAAAGAAAAGACAATAATAGGTCTTTTTGTCTCTTCTCTTGGCGGTTGCACAATGCAGGGTACTTCTAATTTTGTTATCGAAAACAGTGGCAGCCAGGAGACAATGGAATGAAAGTTCTGAAGGGCTGGAGGAAGGAAATTCCCTGGCAGCCCAGCAGTTAGGATGCCATGCTTTCACTGACGAGGGTGCAGGTTCAATCCCTGGTTGGGGAACTAAGATCCCATAAGCTTTGTGGCATGACCAAAAAAGAAAAGAAGGCTGGAGGGGAAAAAACTGTCAAGCCAGGTTTCATAGCAACCTGTTTTAGCAGGTTTCACTAAAAGACAGTTTTCAAAAAAAAAACCAGGAATTTACTGTATGGTGGCCCAGGGAACTATATTCAATAACCCATAATGAAAAATAACCTTAAAAAAATATATAAACATAGGTATAACTGAATCACTCTGCTGTACCCCTGAAACTAATACAGCATTATAAATCAACTGGACTTCAATAAAAAAAATAATTCTTCAAAAACAAAAGCAAGGAGAATGATGTTGGCATGATAGCAGACTAGGAAGCAACAGGCCTTCTTTCTTCCACAGATACACCAAATTAACAATACACGGACCAGAACACCTCTGTGAGAACTGCAGACCATCTGAGAAGCTATGGCACCCCAGCTAATAGAAAACCAAGAAGAGATTTCAACATAGGCGTAGGAAGATTCTCAGCATTTGGTGTGTGCCTCTCCTTCTACATGGCATAGTGCAGAACAGCTGGGAAGGAACCCCTCAGTCTGAGGCTCCTCCCTTGGGGTGCAAACACAAGAGTGGACTGTGTGTTCAACCTTGTGGCTTGTCTGGGAGTTGCTGGAGGAACTGATTTCTATCTTGCCTGACTCAGAGCACACGACTTAATTCAGAGCTGCAGTTCTTCGGGGAGACACCAGGGGGCGAAAGAGATTCCAAAAAATTTGAGAGGTTCTAGAAGTTCTAGAGGTTCAGCATGGCACCCACTCCAGTACTCTTGCCTGGAAAATCCCATGGATGGAGGAGCCTGGTGGGCTGCAGTCCATGGGGTCGCTGAGAGTCGGACACGACTGAGCGATTTCCCTTTCACTTCACTGTCACGCATTGGAGAAGGAAATGGCAGCCCACTCCAGTGTTCTTGCCTGGAGACTCCCAGGGACAGAGGAGCCTGGTGGGCTTCTGTCTATGGGGTCGCACGGGGTCGGACACGACTGGAGCGACTTAGCAGCAGCAGCAGAACAGACAGTGGGTCGCGGGGTGGTCTTCCCTGCCTGGAGCCAGTAAGCAAAAACGGAAGAGGTCTTGGACTCAGTGTTTTGCTAGGTCAAAGGGATGTGTCCGAACCATTTTTAGGATAATGCTGATGATATCTTAGAAGAAAACAACACACAAGTCTTGCCTGCAAATATTCTAAGATTTATAAATACAAAGGGTAACATCCTTAGCGTGTGTGCATGCAGAGTGGCTTCAGTCTAGTCCGACTCTCTGAGAGACTATATAGACTGTAGCCCGCCAGGCTCTTCTGTCCATGGGATTCTCCAGGCAAGAGGACAGGAGTGGGTGGCCATTCCCTTTTCCAGAGGATCTTCCCCACCCAAGGATAGAACCCAGGTCTTCTGCATTGCAGGCAGATTCTTTGCCACTGAGCCACCATGACGACATCTTAGAAGAAAACAATATATAAGTCTTGCCTGTAAATATTCTAAGATTTATGAATACAAAGGATAAAATCATTAACACCTACAGTATTTTGCAAAATCCTTCTGTAAATCCGTCCTGGCATTGACAAAAGCACGTCCTTTCTCTGTTCCAATAACAAACACATCTGCTTCATACATTGCGATGCAGGCCACTTCCGCCTTGGACTTGGCCAGTTCTTTACACTGAAATGAAAAAACAGAATGAAATATTATCTACATGGATGGATCCCAATTTCGTGGGGCCTGGGAGGTCTGCTTTAAGAAAAAAATATAAAATTACAAAAAAAAGAAAAATCTCTCTAGCTGATTTTTTCCTGGTCCAGGATCCATTCCAGGGTTGCACTTTCTGTTTGCTGTCCTGTCCTTCCAGTCTCCTTGCATCTGGGACAGACAGATAGCCATCTTTCCTTGTCTTGCAGGAGACTGACATGTACGGAAGTGCAGCCCAGTTATTTTCCAGGTGTCCTGAAATTTGGGTTTGTCCCATGCTCCCTCCTCAGAGGCATGAATGCCTTGGAAGCAGTACTGTTGCTTCTCAGCGCCTCCTGCTGGGAAGCTCCAGAGCTCCCTCTGGCCCATCTCTGCCCGTGTTCCTGTTGGTCACTTGATTAAGGAGGTGGCTGTCAGGTTTGTCCACGTTTATGAAGTTACTGATCGTTCCTTTTTTAATCCATAAGTATCTTGTAATCAGATGCTCTGAGTTTATGTAAGTTAGTTAGTGTTAGTCCCTCAGTTGTGTCCGACTCTTTGCGACCCCACAGACTGCAGCCCAACAGGCTCCTCTGTCCATGGGATTCTCCAGGCAAGAACACTGTACTGGTTGCATGCCCTCCTCCAGAGCATCTTCCCGACCCAGGGATTGAACCCATGCATCCTGCATTGGAAGCAGGATCCTGTATTGGAACACCAAGGAAGTCCTAAGATCGATTACATGAAAGCTTTGAAGAACAGTCAAAAACAAGCAAAACCAGAAAGGGATGATGTCCTTGAAAGAAGGCGAGAACACAGGGAGTGAGCTGTACACTGACCTGGCTTTTCCCTGTGGGAACTCTTTACTTCCTGTGGGATTCCGGGGGAAATAGAGCTTAACCAAAAAAGCAGCGAGGGGTAAAGAATCTGTCTGCCAACGCAGGAGACGCAAGATCCCTGGGCCAGGAAGATCCCCTGAAGGAGGAAATGGCTGCCCACTCCAGTATTCTTGCCTGGAGAATCCCATGGACAGAGGAGCCTGGCAGGCTACAGTCCACGGGGTCACAAAGAGTCAGACACGACTGAGCACCTGGGCACTAACAGCATCAGTCTTAGCTGAAATGAGGAGATCTACGTCACAGGTCGGGACTGCCGCTGTGGTCAGACTAGGAAGCAGAAGTTCTGGAGAAGAATGAGTCACAAGGCGGGAGACCCAACATCATCAGAGCAGCCTCCCTCGGATTCTTGTTGTTTTCGTTGCTAAGTCATGTCTGACTCTTTGCGACCCCACGGACTGTAGCCCCGCCGGGCTCCTCTGTCCATGGGATCTCCCAGGCAACAATACTGGAGTGGGTTGCCACTTCCTCCTCCAGGGGATCTTCCCGGCCTAGGGATCGAACCCGAGTCTCTTGCATTGCAGGCGAATTCATTACCATCTGAGCCATCTCAGAAGCCTTGACTGGTCCTCAAACTGTGCAAGCACGCGGTGAGGCTTTAAGGAGAAGCAACGTTTGCAAGCTAAATTGCTGGGCAGAGATTTAACAGCCAACAGGGT